GCTCCTGGGTCAGAAGGGGGAGGTGCTGGAGACCTAGACTCCTGGGTCTGAGGGAGGAGGGACTAGGGGCCTGGACTGCTGGGTCTGAGGGAGGAGGGTTTGGAGGCCTGGACTCCTGGGTCTGAGGGAGGAGGGGCTGGGGGCCTGGACTGCTGGTCTGAGGGAAAGGGACCTGGGAACCTGGATCTCCTGACCCATCCTCCTCCTCCCCCCAGAGCAGCGGAAGCGGTACTCCACGGTGGTGATGGCGGATGTGTCCCAGTATCCCGTCAATGTAAGTGTGGGGTCTGCGCTGCCACGGGGAGTCTTCTGGGAGGAAAGGAGATGGGGGATGTTGAGAGCAGGTGGGCTTCCAAGCAGAAAAAACTGGGGAGACTCCGCCTGCTCATCTACAAAGGGGGCCGCGGACGCGCGTGGGTATCCGCGGGGGAGCCCAGTGCCACGCGAACCTGCTAACTTTTCCTCTTGAGGTGGACGGTGTGGCCACAGGCGCAAACCAGAGGCAATCCTGGATGAGCCGGGGTTGGGGGGGTTTGGGGGGGCAGACACGGTCCGGAAGAGCAGCAAAGGGCTGCAGGCAGAGGTGCTTTGAAGGGACGAGATAGGATCCAGACCATCCCCGGACGCCAAGGAGCCTCCAGTAAAAAAAAAGGTAACTTTCCATCGGCTCCAAATAGACAGGCCCAGGTGGTCCCCATTCTGATGAAACAGAAACGAAGGGCCCTGAGCCGAGGCGCCCATGGGTGGAGCAAGTGATCAGGGAAGGCGTCCTGGAGGCGGTGTGGTTAGGCACCCGCTGGAAGCCTGGTTCCACGCGGGCACTCACTGCGTTCTGCGCGGCCCCTGCCAGCACTTGGTGACGTTCTGCCTGGGCGAGGAGGATGGCGTGCACACGGTGGAGGACGCCACGAGGAAGCTGGCCGTCATGGACAGCCAGGGCCGCGTCTGGGCCCAGGAGATGCTGCTGCGCGTGTCTCCCGACCACGTCACGCTGCTCGACCACGTCTCCAAGG